GAGAGGTTCAACCTGTAGTTTCACAAATAGATGCAAACACCATTATGCAGTGAATGAAGGAGGAGAGGGAGTAGTTGGCCTTTTTGACACACATGAACTTTTCCATCACCTCAGAGTCACAATCGTATGTTTGTGACATGGACAACTTATTGATGAATGTTATTGTTTAACATGAAGGATTGCTTGGAGAGAGGTTAATTAGAGCTTAATATGAAGCATGGATCCATGAGTGGAGGGTAGTGACATGAAGCTGATGTTGTGTTCAGGGGAGAGAGCAGGGTTTTATAGGTAAAGGTCAGAAAGAACCAGGGACGTGAATTTGTTCTCCACTATTAAGAAATTGCTTGTGCCTTAATACATAAATGTTTGTAACTTTCCTAAAGGTTTGTTTAAACATGACACCAATAATGGACATATTTATCCGTATAAATGTCCAACCCCTTTTTTTTTTTACACTTTTGCTAATCTCTTGGCCTTTGCACTACCTTGTGGCAATGAGTTCCGCAGGCCATCAGTACTCTGTGTGGAAAAATATTCAGTCCCATGAAAGCAACCAATTCGTCAGGACTAAAGCACATTTCTTGAAGGGATTGCTTCACTGCAACTTCTGCCTGTACAGTAGCGCTTCTGGAGATGAATGGAGGACTTCAGTTTCTAAGGCTGTCAGTTAGGCACCTTTCATCTCCATTCATTTTTATGAAAGCCAAACAAACAACCTAGATATGATTTGAGGAGTGGAGAGGGTTACTAATAAAAAGAGAAATGTAGAAGAACTAAAATACAGGTCTAGCTTGTTGTCTGCATATATTTGTAAGGTGAAAGATCAAAAGAGGGAGCGTAACTCCTGAGCGTGGCCTGGACAAGGAAGAGTCTAGACTGAATATCAGGGGGAGTGTTGCATTAGTAAGATATGTTGGATTGTGGAATGGCCTCCCGAGAGGGGAGAGAGGATGATTAGATAGGTATTTTCCATCTCCCATTGCTGTGATTCTGGAATTTGACCTGAGCTGGTGGTTTTATGAATGCTAGCAGCCACCTCTGTCCATGTAGGCATTTATATCCCGCTTGCCGTGCCAGAGTATGGGCACGTGTGTTATTACTGCCATAGGCTCAGTTTTTCCATTCCAATCCTTGTTAAAAGCAGAGTACACTCTTTGGGGCAGGGGCTGTCTCTGGCTGGATATTCCTTCACTGAGGCATTACATCCAGTTATCTCCACTGGAGTTACTAACTTGGCTTGAGTGAGAGCAGTTACACTGTGAAACGACACTCCAGCTGCCGTGGTGCACAGCATGCTAAGACTTCTGAGGGGATGTCCCATGCTTAGCACTGCAATAAGCTGAGCCACTCTAGGTATTTCCCTGGGAGTTGTGGGAGAACTTGCCTGCCTTTGCTGGGCACATGGGGAATTGTGGGAGGGCCCTTGGAAGGACTAGCAGTGCTCAGGGAGCTAGCCTGCTTTCATGCTGCAGAGTGGTCAGGTTAGCAGCTGACGAGTTTTAGTTAAGCTCACTGGCTTGGCAGGGAGTATAGAGTTAGCAGTCCCACCACAGTTGAGTTTAGTGTTTGTGGGTAGCACTCAAGTTAGGGGCAGCAATCGAGTTAACCACTGGAGTTAAGGCTATGCTGAAAACAAACCTGCTGCGTGTTTGAATAGCGCATCTCACAATGGTACTTGGGTCTCAGTTGGCTTCGTAGTAACAGCAAAGCCTCCCCAGGAATGGGGCTGGCACGGGATGGAGGCTTCACTGCAGGCTCTGCAGTATAAAGCTCATTTAAGCTTCATACTGCAGATCCCACAGCATGTGTAATGACTAAGATCTCCAGTGGTTACACAGTGACCTTTTTAACCAATTATTTTCCATCTATGTGCGGAATAAAATGTATGTGCACCAAGGCATATATGCAGATGTACACCACCAATAGAAACTGCTGTGGGCACTCTGCCAGCGGGGTGGCACCTGAATCTCTCCTCGGCGGCTGCCCACGTGTTCAGCTTATAGGGGACACTGATGACGATGCCAGCTTACATCAAACTGCAGGAGGATGGTTGGATAGACAAAGCTCCTGTGCCTATGCCTGGTGTTAGCATTAGAACTTCTGCACTCTTCATAATTGTTTTTTCCATATATGGCTTCAGTGAAGTTAATTTTCTCCTTCATTGCTAGCCCCTGCATGTACCTGATGGGCTGTGTCATTCTGGTGATATTTCTTGGGAACCAGTAAAGTATGAAGGGACAGATGTGTATCACTGCAATAACCTGGACTGCCATGACATTTAAAAGGCAACATATTAAAAACTTTTAAAAAGAAATATGTTCCCCCTAAGTATGTTAAGTAACGGTTATTTTACTAGTCGAGTAGTCGATGGAATTTCTGTTGAGTAGTCAACTAGTCGATAGGCACTTCTGCATTCCTCCTTTGAAATGTACAACTCCGCATGCAGCCCGGGGCCAGTGGGAAGTCCCACTGACTCCAGGCTGCACGGACATGCTAGCTTTGAAATGTACAAGAGTCCCCAGTGGGGGCTCTTGTGCATTTCAAAGCGGCAGCGCAGCATGGAGCCCGGGGTCAGTGGTGGACTCTGAGTCCCCCGCTGACGTGTGGCTCTACCCCTTTAAAATGCCTAAGTGCCGTAGAACCTGGGGTCAGTGAGAAACTCCCCCAGCTGATTCCAGCTCCGCACGGCATTTCCCCAGAACCCAGGATCAGCTGGGGACTCCCCAGTTGATCCCGGATTCTGCTGGGGAGTCCCCAGCTGACCCTGGGCTCCATGCATGGCAGTGCCACACAGCTGATCCTGGGCTCAGCTGTGTGGCGCTGCTGCTTTGAAGTACCCATTCTTCTCCCCCCCCTTTGCTGCCTCTATTTGATAGAGGAAGCGGGGCGGGGGGGG